AGCAGATGCCATTGGTATCCTGGGACATCATATATGCATGGACAGCACTAGTAGCGGGTGTTCCCGCACTGCTCGATGCAGGTTGCCCTACGGCTGGCTCTGCGCCAGCTGCCTCCTTGACAAGCAAAGGGGGATCCTCGCAGTGAGGATTGGCCGTAATAGTAAACGACATTGAGCCTTTCAATCCTCTGCTGCGGCCCCGCTCTCGTCGACCTCGGGCGCCAAGTGCCCCGGAGGCGTCCCCATCAAATGACATGCCCTGGCGCCTTTCCCAAGGAGAGGCTTGCACACCTCAGACCCGGGGGGGGTCATCTTCTCCCGCCAATGCTCCAGGGCCAGGATAGCCCCCACGTTGGACATGCCCCTTCGACCCAGGATAGCAGGGAGATCCCCCCTGAACCCTCAGCCACGTTAGCTGAGTATGTGTCCAGTCTTGGCACAACGGGTTTCCCCGCAGGACCTCCCGCATCCTTGCACGCAACTTTGCAGCGCAAGGATTTGTCACAGACAGCGGCACCATGCCCAACACCCGACACGTAGAGCTCTTCGTCGAATTCAGCTTCTTGATGTTGTGTCCGCGAGAGCGGGACACAGGCTCGAATGTCTGTGCCGTTTTCAAACAAACAATGTTGATGTTGCTGCCGATGTCTAAAAGGATCGTCAGCATTCCATCCACCATGGCACCGCCGTTCGCGGCCAGGGCCAATTCATGGCTTTCTCCGAATACCTGGCACTTCGGACAGCGTTGTTCCGCACAGGCCCTTGCGACGCCTCTGCTCTAACACCCAATCGTTCCTCGTCAGGGACGCGAAGACGTTTATGTACCCGCGGGCCTCCTCCTAGGCGATGGGTTTATTCTCGAATATCCCGGCCGTCGAGTACTCGTCGTACATGTGAGGGCGTGGTGCAGATGAGAGCGGCATGTTCATGAACGTATCCTCATCGGCGCGCATGGCTACCTGTCCGTCTGTGTCACCATCAACACAGCGTGTGGCATGTCACGCTCTGATATGGCACTGTTGCCGCTGCGTGCGCTTACCGGGCTTTCCGTCCTGCGCTGACTGCGCGGGCGGATGTCTCGCCCGTAGGGTATGTATGTATGAGGAGCATGGAGCCACTGTGCACTTCCCTCGGTGGCTCGCTCCATACGCCTCAGCCACATTTCACTGGCAGGCAACGCTGCAGGTGTTGTCATAGCAGGTGTCCGTGCAATGTTGGCTGATTCAGCTACCAATCGCATAGGCGTATCTGTAGCAGGCGCAGTGGCTGCTGTCGCCTGCACCGCATTGGATTATGACGCAGGTTGCCCCGCAGGTGTCGTTGCGGCAACTGCCGCGTTGTTCGTCACCATCGCCGCGATGCGGCTGAGCTCTTCGCACAGGTCCCTGAGCTCGTTAGCCCCGCGGAGTATGTCTTCATGACATGTTGCTGCATTTTGACCTCCAGCGAGGGCGCAATGAAACTCAGCTGCGACGAGACCAACGCCCCTGCAAATAGCGCAGGGAGACTCAGTTGCGGCACCTTCTAGCGCACCAGCCAACTGCCGATCCAGATGTGCGTGAGCCACTCGGCCCCAGCACCGTGCATGAAAGATGTGGACACACTGAAGCCTCCAGACCTTGTCGCGATTGATGAAGTTGTCCAGGCATATGGCACACTTATTAAAATTCACCGTCGCTGATGACCGGCGGCGTTGTCGACGGCCAGATTCGCGTCTGGCGCTCCAGAGTGGATTAACCAATCTCGCACTGGATCGGTGGAACCGATGGTGGCTGCATGGCTGCGAGCGCTGCCTGATTGAACGCAGGTGTCCCCGCAGAAATTGGAGTAGCAGGTTGCCCCGCGCGACCCATCAGCCGGCGTGCCCGCCGCTCCTGGTTGCGGCGCTGGCGGGCCAACTGCATTGTGAGGTTGGCCTGCTGCGCCTCGTGGATGGCTAGGATCTCTGGGCGCAATTCCACCATGGATGCTGGCACTACCAGGCCGGGGGCCTGTTGCATCACATCAGGACCCATAGGGGTGGCCAGATAGCCGCAATGAGGAATCTGGCCCAGTGCTCCAAGACTCGTATCCAGAGCCGCGCGTCAGCTGAGACTGATAGAAGTCGTCGGCTGTCGCCCGGACATAAGGATTATCCGGCCGTGCTCCCACGAGGATTACCCGTCACCTGAGCATGGTAGTCAAGGAACAGCGGGGCGCCCATCGGCGGTGCTGCAGGTCGCTCGGCAGCTGTCGGATCGCACGTCGGGTGCCTGAAAAATGCTGGGACATACCCGTATCTGTTGGGATTGTCCCGCGACGGGCTTGGATCCAGAACAAACTTCCAAGGTGGTGTCCAGCTGGCGCTCGGGAGGTCGATGCCGCCCCTACGCATACTCTGCACGGCCTCGCGCATCTGCCGGTACATCCACTGCTCCTGACCGACTAAACTGTCAGTCCTCTGGGCAGCGTCGCCGTCAGGGAAAGCAGGTTGCCCCGCAAGTGGACGTGGCGATGCGAACGGCGATGTCGCCTGTAAGGCCTGGTAGAGCTGTGGGTCCATCCGAATGCTCTGGAGCCTCGCCTGCAGGCTGTTGGTGCTCCCAGCACTCTGTGGAGCCCCAAATGGAGTCGCAGCCCTGGTCATAGGCGCAAACGACGCAGGTTGCCCTGCAGGCACTGGCAACTGCTGCGGCTGAACACGCCACGGGTCGTTGGCGTACAACCCGTTTTGGGCGTCATACCTGACACGTCCGCGCTCTGGGCCTGAATCCATGATCCGTCTGATCCCCCTGCAGGCGCCCCCGCTTGGCATCCCTCTTGCAACAAAAATACCGCGGTGAACTCGACTTCCCGCATGGGCGTCGGTTCGGGACACTTCAAATTGTAGGGGTCTTTGGAATAAACAAACTATTCAACGATGATGCATCATCTAGAATCTCACATATATAGACATATCGTCTGGAATGACACCGTTTGCACGCAGATTTCTCCGCTCGTTATCCCATATGTTCCAAAGTTTACCCACGCATGTCCCACTCGGTCGTATCTGCATTGATCCGTGTTCGGCAAGCTGCCTATGAGCTGGACGATGTGGGTCGGCGGATCCGCCGACCCACATCGTCAAGCTCACAGGCATTAGTTAAGTGGTTGCGCTAATTAAGTGTTTGCTAATTAATATAGCACGCGTGCTATTTCGACTTCTGTCGCCCCAACCAGCCGTCAAAATCATCACTTCTGAGCGCCAAATTGCCGTACTGTCGCGAAGTAAACTTATCATGGTCAGTGCTTCGGAATCGACGCGCAGGCCAAACTGAATCCTATTATCTCCAGGTAGATACGGACATCCACTAACAAGCTGTCTGCCCCTTTCATTAGCAGCGTCATCAGCACGGCAGGACAGCCCCGCGTGAAAATATGTTCGGCTGATTCGCCCACTGGGTACCATGAATAAAATAGCAAGGTGCACCTGGTGTTGTCAAATCAGTCTCCTCATGTATAAAGACTGAGGGCACTTTATTCCAGGGCTGCTATGTCCATTACTTGGGCGCAGAAAGTATGTCGGATGAGTCTCGCTAGCGAACTGACACTTCTTTACCTGGAGCCTGTTCTTCTGCATACCGGCGCTGTCGACCATGCCGATCAAGTTCAACGCAGTCAATGCCTGATGTGCCCAATCGCGTTTGCTGGGGCATCGCCGGACAGTCTCCAGGTGGCGACTGCGATAGTAATCGCGGCCTCCTGGCGGCCAGTTGTCGAGCAACTCCGAGAGCTCCACCCACCCATCGAAATCGAAAGACGGCACTGCTGCCAAGAACCTATCAGAAAGATGGATAGTATGGAACGGCTTGTGACGAGTAGCTGTAGTGAGCCACTGCGCACAACTGCGCTGTTCCTCAACGTTCAGTTTTGGCCCAACAACTCTCAATCTCTCGAGGGCCCCCCTCTGGCATCTCTGCTCGGAATGATAGCTGAGAGCAGGCGCTTCACGCAGGAGGTTGCGAACAACCTGACGTGTGTGAGCTGCCTCATCAGCAATGACCTCAAAACCCTCGATGTTGCACTGCACCACGATGTATCGATCAGACCCGTCATCGATGTGAGGATGACACGCTGGGCTGATACTCCTTCAATTGGCGGCGCATATATTTCCCAATACAGCCTACATTCCGCGAGCATTTCGGGAGCAAGAGCAGGTTGCCCCGCAGAACTCGGATCTGGCTCATCAGACCATCTCGCTGACTGGGGCCGCTGCAGGTGCTGCTGGCGAGCTAGCGACTGCAGATGATGAACCCGCGCCTGCTGATCCCCTGGGAATTCGAGGAGCACGAATGCCGAAGTTCTGGCGTTTCTTTTCACCAATGTCGTAGAACTCGCACGCGTTGGCCTTGGGAGCTGCCCCCGATGCCATTGACGTAGTTTCCAACACCTTCTGTTTGGCACCATACCTCGATGAAGAAATACCCCTCGATTACCCCTCCAATGTCGGCGCCCAGCCTGTCCCGCGCGTCGGCCAGGCGCAGGGCCACGACGGGTCACAGGCCCCTTTGGAATAAGCGCACTGGCGCCCTGAAATGCAGCTGCTGCGGCGGCCACTGCTGGTCCTCTGAATCGATGTCGCTCAGCAGGTTGCCCCGCAGATCGCTGATGCTTGCTGCTACCAGGATTGGGATCACCTGGGCGACTTCTCTTCTTCTGTGTAGGCGGTGGCGCAAGTTGATCAGGTCCGAGCGACTTGGGCTGGCTCGAAGAATTCGAAGATGGAGATAGATCAACAGATTGATCCGTCTTCGGCCTGGGAGGAGGTGCCTTTGGCTTTCCCCCTGCGGGTACCCACGGCCGATAACTTACAGACCTTCTACCAGGCTTGAGATGGTACAACTCTTCAGGTTTTCTGAGTGCCATGTTCTCGATATCGGCCTTGCCCCTGCAGGCCAAACTATATGTTCCAGCGCCACCCCTTTGTTCAATGGAGGTTTTTACCCAACCTACAGTCCCAGCATGGTAGACGACCCTTCTACCTGAGGAAAGATCCGCGTCTTCCGTGACTATGTCAATAGGATCTATGACGGCGTCCGCAACGTGAGTGACGTCCGTGACAGAGGTGAAGGCCGTGTCGGAGTAGCCCGAGTCGCACCCTGGAGGAGCCTCTGCTGCGGGGCCCACTGATTCGGCCAAGTCCTCAGCTTCATCATCTTCTGGCTGGTCGCCATCTCCTTGCTTAGACGAAGCAGGTCTCCCCGCGCGCCACTCACGATTGCATACCTTCAGGTAGTGAGTAGGAGAAATAGTATTCCTTCTATCTTTGGTACGAGCTATTTCATGATCTTCAGCTGCCATCTAGTCCATTATCAGAAACTGCTCTCCGCGCGGAACTTTGCTCGGATCTGCGACGCGACCCCGACCATCACAGCGAGGCCAGACCCATGGTGCCCTGCCGAAGTTGGGGCTCCTCGATGGACGCCCCATGGGGCAGCCGGGTCCGCGGTCGGCGCGGGCGAAGCAAGTACAAGCAAGACTTCGGCAAAACTGCCGTTATTCGATGACGGCCCTCCTTTTGCCCCGCCTTCCAAGAGCTTCTTGTGATTTGACAGCCCCCTTCCTGTTTGAGCGAATGATCTTGCCTTCGTCATTTCGTTCAAAATTGCGGAGAGGATCCCGGTGGCGAATCTGGCGTTCGGACCAGCCTGAGTCCAAGTAGCATCGCACGGTACCAGAGTGCATGCGTTGACGAGCTAATCCAATAGTATCATAGCTGACAAAGCGCTGCACTTTGCCTTCTGGATACTCTTCTAGAGGATACCCCCTCTGAGGCGGGTTTCCCCGCGGGCGCTCCTTCCTCGGTGGAGCGCCAGGTCTGTCCTCCTCGGCGGGGTCTTAGGGCCCCTCGCGTCAAGAAGGCGAGGGCGCTGAAGGCCGCAAGAGCGAGCGCCGCTGGAGCGCGCGCGCGAATGTTCGCGTGAATAACTGCGGGCACGACCACGACGAAGCAGACGTCGGTCAACTTCCCGCTCGTCGTCACCGCCCGAGCGGCCCGCACTCCTCCAGACTCGACGGCCTGCTGATCGCCCCCGGCGGCTCGGGGAACGCCTCACGGCCACACTTCGCCGTAGCCAGGATCGCACTGGACGCGCTCTGACAAGTCGCCAGCATCCCGCGGGCTCCCCCGCAACGGATCATCGTGAGATGTTACCATGTTTGTCGGATTTCCACTTATCTGGGTATAAAACACCCTTCGTACTTCCTCACCTGTCGTTGGAACTGTTGCTTCCGAATCCGCAGGTGCCCCCTTCCATGTCTTGATCTACTTCGGCGGGCATCAAAAATTCTCGACAAATTCAATATGTGCAAGTTGCCCCGCGATGGGTATACCCAGCTAGTCTGCCAGGTTGATCTCACTGTGGCCAGTGAGCATCTCCTCGAAGAGCTCGTCGGCGCATTCCTCGAGGGACACACAGGCACTCCAATGTCTGGCAGCCATGAAGTTAACAACTGTAACTGGGCCGTCGGCAGGGTCGGCCAACAGTGTTCCCCAATCAACAGACTGTTTGTCCGAATCAGTTTGAGCCAAATGCATCGACGGACCTCTGACGAAAATGTCGCGTGCTATGGCAGAGGTCACGTTCCATTGTTTTGCCGTTAGCGTCTTTCGGGTTGCCCCGACGTCCCTTACCCTTGCCTGCAGTGCGCCTACGGTTCCTGCACCTAGGAATAATTCTTCGCATTGCGGACCAGTAAAGGATGCCAGGAAATCTAACATACCTCTGCCATGCAGTCGCCGTCGCCTGCCCTTACCCTTGCCTCGGCCCTTACATTTTCCCCCTACGCGCCCGTCGGATAGTACGTCGTGCCTTACGAACTGGCCTATTCATGAATCGTTCCCACCTGCGTTCACGTTTGTAATATCCGAGTGATAGCCTTTTCGGCTCGCTGTTCTTCTGTAAGATACGCGGGCATGTCGGAGTAGTCTAGGGCATTCGCCCCCTCGTCTGATGACGCGTCGACGTCGGTTCCAGAGTCGAAGTCGGACTCGGCGGGCTGCCCCGTTGAGCCTACAGAGGTAGTGGCTTGCGCAGGAGCCGCCGTTGTCAGCGGCCCCTGACACTTGGCCCAGGAGTCTTCCGACCCCGCAGCCGAACCACCATTCTGAGTCAATAACGCGGTGGTTTCCGTCGGTTGCGGATCGTCGTTCCAGACGTTCGTAGCAGGCTGCCCTGCGCTAGCATCAGCATGAAAGGTCTCGGAACGATGACCGCGGCTGAAGATACCACCAATGTTGCCAAGGCTTCGCTCAGCGATGTGAGCATATGATCTCATGCGTTCAAGCAGAGAGTCCAATTGCTGCAGGTCCCTCGGCACGCGGTGGTCGAGCGGCTGTAGAAGTTACTGTGCACGCGACGTCCCCACCCCTAAGGCTCTGAACAAGATAACCGTTAGAATGTGGAAGTTGGGGATGTTAAAGCCTGCCGCTTCAGCCTCATAGCGGGCAATCTCGAAACGCGCCAACGCCTGGTCGATCCGCTCTCCCGCATAGAGTCGGAAGCTAATGAAAACTGTAACCGAGTTGAGTTGGCGTTCCTCTTCTAAGTTCTCGAACTTCGTGCTCAGGAGGAACATAATGTAGGTGACACCATCAGTAAGGCGGCCACCTAGGTTGGCGCCAAAACTGATAACTGCTGGGGGAACTCTCATGGCTATCGTCCGTGCGAGGCCCCCCAGACCACGCTGCAGTGCTGCAGTTTGCTGGGAGGGCGTCATAGTGCATGTGGTCACGTTGATCCAAGCATGCACCTCGCGAACGAATTCGCGGAAAGGTACTTGACCGGCCGGGTCCCATCGGGGACCGGTCGTTCTCGCGTCGTCTCCTCCACGCATGTGTCCCACAGCGCACCCGATAGCAACCCATATGAGATCAAAGGTAGCAACACCAATCCAATGGCCCCGTAGGTCGTGGTCGGATGTGGTTGGCTGAGGTTTGTGGTGTTTTGTCGTGAGCATGCGTGGGTGTGGGGCGGCGCAATATCGCATCGCATGTTTCCATGCATGGAATCTTCAAAGAACTTTCCAATTGGAGTAGGTGGGTGGACTTCAGGAGTGTAGTAGCGCAGGGATGTAGGACTCGAGTAAGAGGCCTCTGCGAGGGCACAGGTAGCACTGCAAGTGTCCTTGATGTTGTGAGTAGTTATGTACATTCCTCCGCGCAGACCCACTGCACCCTGATGTTCCACCATGTCAGTAGTCCACCACATAGTGCCGTGGATGGTGAAGAGTAGAGCAAGAGTTGACCACGATAGGCTAGCTCAGCTGCCAAGTTTGAAGGGGGCCGGCAGGCCCGACCAAAGCTACGCCTTAGGCCAAGCACAGCTCCAGCTCTGTTTTATCGTAGTCACGATAGTCCCAGTAGTAGGAGGTCGCCGCGGGAGCGACGGGCCATCTCAAGCGAAGGATGTTTTCGGTCTCCATGGCGAATCGTACACTTCGCCCTGAGGTATAGTCAGACATAGGCGGCCGGCCGCTTGAGCACAAAAGGCCGCGGACACACGCTCGTTACCTCTCGCCTGTATCCCAGCTCACTTTAGAATCCAAAGGAACTACGAGTCGACGAAAGGTCGTTCAAAAACGCCGAAGATTGCCTCCAGACGGCCCCATCAGTCCCCAAGACTCTTGGAAAATTACCACCAAGTGCCCCACGAAGGCCCTCCAGAAGCAAAAATCGTTTCATTCCCTTCGGAAAACGAACATGTCCAGCAAATTCGCCTTTTGGGCGGCCACGCGGCCCACAACGGCCCAAGAAGCCTCCAAGATCGGCCCTCCGCAGCCCAAGAGGCCCCAAAAAAGGCTCCACGACGGCTTCCAGGCGATCCACGGAGGCTCCAGAAACCAGAGCAACGGCCCGGGAGAGCCGCAGGACGGTCCCACGATGGCTCCAGAACGGGCCAACAGGGTTCCCAAAGGCTGCCCAGACCGCCCACGCGGGGGACGATTCGGTCCAAACCGCCCAAGATTACCTCCAGACGGCCCCATAGGCACCCACGACGTTTGAAAACGCATCCACGAGGCGCTCCATGAAGGCCTCCAGGAGCAAAATTCGTCTCATTCCCAAGGGAAAACAGACAGTTTCAGTGCATTCGCCTCTTGGGCCTCCACGAAGGTTATGACGGCCCAGTAAGCCCAATAAACCTCCAAGTTCGACCCCCGACACCCCAAGATGCTTTCAAAAAGGCTCCACGACGGCTTCCAGGCGCACCACGAAGGCCTCAGAAACCACAGCAACGGCCCAGGACAGTCGCAGGACGGTCCCACGAGAGCCCCACAACGGGCCAGAGGGTTCCCCAAAGGCCTTCTGGACGGCCCACGAGGGGGACGATTCGGTCCAAACCGCCCCAACTGGCCTGCAGACGATTCCCCAGAGGCCCCCGAGACGTTCGAAAAAACTACTACGAGGCGCTCCACGAAGGCCTCCAGAAGCAAAAAACATGTCATTACCGGGGGAAAACATACATTTTCAGCACATTCGCCTCTTGGGCTTCCACGAGGCCTACAACGGCTCAAGAAGCATCCAACATCGACCCCTTACAGCCCCAGAGGCTTTCAAGAGGGTTCCAAGACGGCCTCTGGGCGCCCCACGAAGGCCCCAGAAACCATAGCAACGGCCCTGGAGAGCCGCAGGACGGTCCCAAGAGGAACCCAAGACGGGCCAAGAGGGTTCTCAAAAGGCCTCCTGGTCGGCACAAGTCGTTCCATAGTGCCCCAAGTCGTCCAACACTGCCTCCCGCCAGCCCTACAGGCCCCCAAGACGCCTCAAGACGCTACCCAGAGGCGTCCCAAGAAGCCTTCCAGAAGCAACAACCGTCCCATTCTCGGTGGAAAGCACATATTTCCAATACGTTCGCACCTTGGCCTTTCACGCGGCCCCTGAGACCCCTTGCACGCCCCGGCGAGCCACCAAGACGCGGCCCAAGAGGCCCTCCACAAGCAAACATCGGCCCGTTCCCTGAGGGAAGCGTCTAAGTTTAGCACATTCGCTACTTGGCATTTCACGAGGCCCACAGCAAACCAAGAAGCCCCTGGAAACCCCATCTGCCTCCAAGAACTAGGGCTTCCAGACGGCCCAAAACGTCCCCCAGAGGAGCCACAGGACGGCCCCA